ATGACCTGCAAAGGAGAGTCGACCAAACTTCCTTCTGATATGTGCGGAAACCTCGTAATCAACTACAAGAAATGTCTGACCTCTTTGCTTGCAAACAAGGGTTTTGCCACCAAGTACTAAGTCTTTTTGGCTGCAGGGTTCAAACACTTATTTCACTCAATGAAATGCAAATCAGTTTATATATTTTCTTTAAAGATATTTCTGGATTTTCTTTTTGATGTTCTATCTCTTACTGTTAAAATAAACCTACCATTAAAATGACAGACTGCTCATTTCTTTGTTAATATACAAACTTACAAAATCAGCAAGGGATCAAACACTTATTCCTCCACTGAAAGTGCCCCTTTCTGCTTATCAATGAACCAACCCACATCACAAAGGTCATGATGTATGATAATTTCAACCTTGGAATTGCTAATCTCTACTAAACAACTTGAAAACTGTTAACTTGAGAACTAAGGCTTAATGACATCACAAGATGAAACAGAGCATTTTGAGCTCTGGAGCTGTAGACAAACTAATAATGCAGGGTTCTACAAACATGTGTGAATGAAACAAAACAAAATTCCAGTTATGTTTTACGGAAGGTAACAATATTCTAATATGGCTTAAAGCTCACAAGAAACAATTTGTGTAAAATAGAACCTTAAATGCAGCCATTGGCCACATGACAGTTTACAGGCAATTATTTATAACCTGATAATATAGATTTCCTTTTTTTTTTTTCTATCCCATCGAATGGTTTGAATCAAAACACCACATTTCAAAATTTGTAATTCCTTTGAACAGTTTTTTTAGTAGCTCAGTTAGGTTTCACACAATTAATAGACGTTATAAGGCTTGTTGTATTCTTTGGGAATTGGGTTTCAAAAAAGCAATAACAGTACAGCTACAATCTGCTTGCAGCCTTGTCAGAAAGAACAATATGCCTGGCAAATGTTTGACTTTCAAGAAACCAGCTATTTCCCCTATAGCATATCACCCTAATCAGGGTAATGGGGATACATAGCTAAGCTTAAAGGTCTGGTCCTTAGGAGCAGCTACTTAATATGGTGCAGTGTAATCTCATTTCAGACCTTGCAGCCTGTAGGTTATTGTAGAAAATCCACCAAAGTTAGGATGACACACTTAATTAAGAGTCCTCTTATTGCATCAACACACAGTACACCTCTGTTTGAACTCTCCTTCTGCAGCCTTCCTGGCTATATTTGGACAAGTGCGTCGCAGCAGCGTGCAGTGCACAGAGGTGACATGGAAAAACACCCACAGGAGACACGCAGGAAAACATAGGTAAAAGACAGACGCTAGCAACAGTCTTCAGGGACACTTTGTGCCCAATGCTCAAGCGATGATGTTGCATCAATATATGTTGCATCAATATATTATGTAAGGATTAAACAATGCTTCCAATGTTAACTGGTTAATTTATTCATTTTAGGTTTCCACGCTGTATAAGGACATTACAGCCATAATTACTACTGCCTAACCTTCACCTAAACTCTAACCTCAGCCTAAATATGTTGACTTTAAACCATATCAATCATACTACTGGATATTGAACTCACGTCACATATATAAGTACACATGAGCTGGTGCATCATGAATTAAACATAACGTTCTTTATTATCATTTTGTATTCAGTTTTTGCTTTGTATTGGGACTTACACAGGCCAAAGCTTCTATGTAATGGACATAATCACACCGCAATCTTATGTGATATATGCACTGTATAACAACTGCATTACTGGAAATACTCTTTTTGTCTCTGGACACAAATAACCCCAGTGAGAAAAGGTTGGGTTATGGTTGTTAATAGATCTCAAACTCTAATATATTTATTTTACTTAGAAATGATCCTAAACAACATGTAACAGTTGTAGTGAGAATATTTTTGAATTTTAAGATAAGTAAGAATGTAATTTGGCAACCATAAAATGTGCAACACTGTAAATGAGAGGAAGTTTTAGTGTCTTGCCTGGTACATAAAGTTAAAATAATAACTGAACACTGAATTGTTCTAAATCAAAATGTGAAAATCAAACAATTGTTAAAGTGAAGAGAGGACAGTCGTGAATTATGTAGGCTACTTTTCATTTGAGGAACACAAGGCGTATGCTCTGCAGTGGCAAAACTGATGTGAACAGATGGATCGGAGTTCAGGGTGACAAAGTACATTTGATTACCTCCTGGCTCTGATTTCTCTTGAATAATCACAACTTTAATCAGAGTAAACCCCTCAGAAACACAATGAGGAAATCAGTAGTGTTGTTGAGGCAAACAGGATTTTATTTAAACTCTACTCTAGTTTTAACACGTTGTAATCTACATTATATTTTTCTAATAAGCACAGTGTCAGTGTGTTGTTTTTGTGGGTTGTGTGTATGTTTCAACTAAATATTCTGTGGCTCAGTGGATAAAGCATTTATCCATATAATAAACCAGTACAGTTTCTACTCCAGGTGTAACTGCTTCTTTCTTAAGCGGTACTGATGCCTTTCAACAGGTTTTTTTGTTTTTATTGTGTAAACATTTTATTGCTGGATGTATAAGCAACTTCTGAGTATATTTTAAATTCAGAGTTTATTCTAATGTAGAGTATAGTTTTATTTGGCACTAGAATAGATGTTATTCTTATGAATAAAACGATCTCGTGTTTAAATGAACCCGGCAGCCTTGATGGAGGTATGTAATTCTTTAAATAACCATAAGCCCTCAATATACAGTCATTAATTGATTTAAATGCTTGTTACTAGGTGGAACTATAAATAATTGCATATGTGTTTAGCTCTGAATAAGCTAATTAAAATGATTCAGTAGCACTCATTATGACAGGAATGGTGCCAACATACAGCACACGTCAGCAATGATTTGTGTTGGTCAGGTTTATAGCTGGAGGAAATGTTCCCAGAGGAATTTATAACAGAATATATGCATGTCTCTATTCACATCCACTGTAAAAGAGAGCGTCCAAATGGCTCCTCATTGTGAAACAGCTATCCGATCCTGTGATATTTCTTTTTATATGACCCATTGTGAAATATTGGATAGGGCTTTCACTGGCGGTGCTGTTAGATCTTTTTCTTTGGTTGTTATCAAGAACCCTTCGTCCTCTTTCTTATGGCTTCTTCTATAACAACTGGGCTATGATAACCATTGCCATGGGTCAAATGGAATCCAAATGTCCTCAGAGACATCACAAGTCCATTAAGCTCTGTCACCAAGAACATCACATCAGTCCAGTGCCAGTGCCTAAAGCAAAGCTCTGAAACTGACAAAATGACCTAGACTCAACAAACTCGCACCCAGAACAGGGCAGGAGGAGATATCCAGTTCCATTATATGATGGTTTTAAGACTCTTCAGCTGTAGCAGTCAGTGTACGTGTTGATCAGAAAGACTGTGATGGGATCATATAAATAGCTCTAAAGTTGGCTGGCTGAAGAAATTTTGGTCGACTGAAGACCTGCTTTGTGTGTCATTCATGGTGGAGGCAAAAACTCTCTAAACATAAAAAAAAAAAAAGTACTAATGAACTCTTGCTAACTTGCTCCTTTTTGCAGAAGTTTATATAAATCTCATTATAAATCCCAATATATGACAACATTTTTGTTGACAAGACCATCACCAACTAAAGGCTTGGTCCTGCTTTTCAGTTGTTATCAGTATCAATAATTTAACTTATCCAATACCCGACAGCAACCCGATAACAATATATTTATGTATTTATTTATTTACAGAAGACACCATGGGTTTGATTGAATGTTTATTTTAGTTATATTGAGATGTAAATTATTATATGTGACAAAAACAAAATGTTTTTCAGCATACACACCATAGTATCATGTTTGACAAACAAATCCTGCTTTTTCAGCAGTACATTACAGTGATGCCACACGCTGTTATATTTCATTTGAACACACTGTCAAAATTATGTGTGAAAACAACATAGTGAGATATTTTACTGTGACTGTTTTTTTTTTTCCAAGTTAACCTCATTTTTAGTCAGCAGAAGCCCTAGGGGGCAGCTCGAGGGGCTGCACACATCCAAATGATTCTACCTGGAGGCTGCAAAGTCCACTCACAGGCCATTAGTTTGCCACTGAAACAAGGCGACTGCAGCACACGCACTGTTCCTCCAGTAAACAACATTACTCAAGTGGCAGGAGTTTGGAGTCGAAGAGACACTGGTTTGATGAGATTGAGCCGTTCATGGGTGTTGTCGATTTATACACTACACAGCGAACACTGATATTCATGTGGCACTTCAGCAGGTCATCATTATTGGATATCTTTTATTTTCTGTTAACATATGCTTCATGAGAAGTCAAGTAGAGGAGCAGTGTTGCATGCATTTCCTTTGCAGGCATATAATCACAGTTAAGAATGTGTTAAGAAAACTATATACAGCAAATAATAATAATCATAATTGTTATAATAATCATCATAATAACAATAATAATACAATTTATAAAATTGCAACAATGTGGATATTGGCATAGCCACATAATACAGCCATTGTCCCATGTTTTTTGAACACACATTCTCATTAATAATAGACCTCAACATTATGAGCTTCAGTAGTAATGTTGCAATGAACACTGATTTTTATATCTATTAGATTTGCAATAAAATTTCATTAGAAAAACATAGAGCACACTCATACACAATAAATAGCCTTTTTTGTAATTTGTGTGCAGTATACACAGATGGCTCATTCTGTGACTTTGAAGATCAATGATATACTTTTTCTGTATTCTCAATGAAAATAGGTTTGTTACAGACATTTCTTGTTTTACATTCAGTGACTTTGAGAAAATGAGCCCACACACTGTCCACACAGACCTCAGCTTCTGTATGGCACTTCCATTAGTATCACTCCCACTGGTACATTGGTCCACAGAGCATTTCTGCTGTGCTGTGTTTCCTTGGTAGAGATGAGGTATTTGCCCGAATACATGCTTCAGTTCTCTCCTCAGTCAGATCTGACCATGAGTGAGCAGTTCAACAATGCAGGATTTTAATGAATGCCTTTCGGAACTCCACATTAAAGGTGGTGTAGATGATGGGGTTTACAGCACTATTCACATAGCCCAGCCAGGTGAAGGCATTGTACATCTCAGCTGGGACCTTGCATTTGGTGCAGTGGGTGTTTAAGATATGTGTGATGAAGAATGGCAACCAGCAGATGATGAACACACCTGTGGAGGAACAACAACAGCAGTTCAGTGAAAGGCAAAGGACTGGACAGTAAAACACTTAGGGCCAATCCAATTATAAAACCACATTTGAATGAGTTCCTTCACTTGCAGCAGTACTGGCTTGTTTATATGTCCTGTCTTACACTAGCAATAACTGAATGAATATACAATATGACAGTCTTTCAGTCAGTCATATGACTGTCATTCGGGACTTTGAAAGCTTGAAAGTGCCACTTTTGTTGAGCTTAACATTGAAAGCAGAATTTAGATTTAGTCTGTACTGCTCTGTGAGATCATACATACTTGCCTGGTAGTATATTTTTCTGTATTCTTGGACTTGGACTATATAGGACTTACTTAGATGGACTTACCAAGGACAATGGCTAACATCTGAGTGGCCTTCTTCTCCTTCTGCTGTGATATCTTCCTCTTGCTCATAGTCTTGACAGAGGTCTGAGTTTTGCCGTTGGGCAAGGCCTGGGTCTGGAAGGCTTTGGCCACCACAGGAGTAGCACCGGCCAGTGGCTCTTTGGGGCGCTCCCCATTCTTCTCGGTCCTCCCATCCTCTGGGGGAGTTGGTGGGCATGATGTGGGGCTAGCATTAGCTTTGTTAGGCATGAGCATCTGATGGCTAGTAGCTGGAGTGTCTCCCAGAGTGCATTGTGGCTGTTGCTTTAGTTTCTGACTGTCCCCGCTGTTGTTGAGCTCGTCCAGTTCCAGATCCTCTCCCTCATTTCCATCTTTGATAAATATCTGAGTCAGATAATAGCAACAAACAAAAGTATCATTAGTGTGATTTAGAAAACAGGTCAGGCATTAAGCTCCTGTGTAAATTTAGTCAGGCTGAGGGCTATTCAGAGAAAATGGGCTTTTATTAAAGTAATAGGAAACAATTTGAACATGTCCTGCTGAATTGTATTCTCACATTACAAAATAGTTGAAAGAAATAATATTTTAAGATAGGAGTAAAACACACACCACTTTCTTCTTGTTGACAGGAAAACTCCCATTAGATTTAACAATCATGGTGCACAGCCTCACATCCTCTGGATGAGTGCACTTATCCTGAAACAAAAACAGCAGTGTCAGGTCAGGAGAAGCTCCAGAGCCAAAGCCAGACTGACGAGCACCGTCAAAGCACAGCTTTCACTGTTCAGCTCATATTCATCTATTCAATGACAAAACTCTTTGTAAGGTTTTACTGCACCTTGAGATTTGATGATTTATTATTGAGATGATTATTTATTGGGATCTTACATAAAGAAAGCCAAATACAGTCTCTTCCAAAAAGCTCAGTAAAGTGCACTGGATCAAATGCATTACTTGGCTTCCTGTGCTAAGGCCTTTGGGTTTCACCATGACAGTAAAATCAATACTCGTAAAGCAAAAGGTCAGTTAGGGCCATCATAATTAGTGTTGCGTAATGGCTTTTGACACACAGACATGTTCAAAACAGATGAATCAAGATTAAAATTTCATGCACAAGTTGTATTTCATTTGCACTCGGAAATGAAAGTTTCCATGGATCAAGGTGCCACTGGAGCTTGGCCTTCCGATCCCTGGCAGGGTGTAATCCATTGTGTGTGTGTCTTTTAAAGAAAATCAATGTTTTTCTTGTCTGGTTTTACTGCTCTACAGTGCGTTGTTCCATAACCATCTATAAAACCATTGCATATAATTGGCTTTAGAAAATTATTGATTCAAGTTTCATAAAGAGAGCAAATTAACTGAAAGGGCATTCTTGTGCTATTGCTTTTGTAAAAGAGACTGAAGTCTTGGATTAATTTGGAGTAAATCATTTTCATTATATGTTGCATATTGTTAACAGAATTCAAAAGCACTGGCTTTGTGCCTTAAATAATCTTCATTTCACATTTATTAACAAGAAATAGGATAATTTTTTATTACTTTAATAAATTTGAATAATTTAACCCTTTGGTCATTTCATCATTATTACAACAGGGGTTTTGACATGTTATAATCTTACTGATGGCTGCAGAAGAATCAGAGCTTTCAAACATGAAAGTGCTAATGTAACTATCGTGAAAAGCTTCAAAGTACTTTGGACTGGAACCCCTGGTGTGAACCTGTATCAAACTAATTGGATTCATGCAGCGCAGTCACTTTATGTTTTTAATAGGTTTATGATATTTCTATGTCAAAATCATGAAAAATACATTAAGATTAAGTCTAAATTAAATGTTTTTCTTTAGAATGAATAAAGTCATTACTGTGGATCTAAACTGTCCTAAACCAGTGTTAAACTCATGGACCTTTTTTAAACACATGTTGTACTTGAACAGTGGTGAACAGTGAGTGTATTGACAGTCGTCCCTGGGAGTACTGTACAGACTGAATTCATCTCACCTTGAGTGAGGTGGCCACATCAGGCTCAGTGGGCTGACACACTCTGTGCTTTGGTTTGGTGTTGACACGTTTCCTGCGTTTCCGTAAAACCACATAAATTTGCACATAAACCAGCAGTGTGATGATAAAGGGGACATAAAAGGACACGATGGAGGAGTAGACCACGAAGGCCGGGTTAGCGATCACACAAAGGGATTCGTCACGTGTGGCTGTAGAGAGAGAAACAAAGAATGAAGGCTACTTGCTAATGATTGTGGGTAGTTTTAATCAATGTTTCAAAGGCAACAGAATCAGAAAAAGCTTTATTACTAAGAATGGGCTCCAGTAGCAACATAAGATAATGTGTACTAATAGTAAAAAAAGATAGAATAAAGAATTAGAAAGAAAATAAATACTGAACTTACTGCTGTGACCTAAAGAAATTCTAACTTGCAACCACCACAGCATCAAACCACTCTGATATTCACTTTATTTCTGTTAGTTTGATCAGTACTCATATTTCATGAAACTTTCCTGATAAAGTTTTGAGTCTGTCTGGGGCAAATCAACACATGCACTAGTTGCTTAGGAGCCATATTAGCTTTGATCTAGAGTACATCACTGAGAAATAAAGTCTCTCGTCCTAAGACAGACCTACAAATAATCACAGCAAGATACTCAGTTTTTCCATGCATACTGGGGAGCTATGAATTACTTTAGATTAATACATTTTCAATACCATTTGGCACATTGAAACACTTCACAACTCCTCCGGTCAACAGATGCATCCATTTATTTGATGATGCAGTACTTCTCTATACATTTATGCGGCTAATCTTTAAAGGCAGCATGCGTTATTACTGTTTTAAAAAAAAGGTACTGCAATCACTACTGACCCTGGATAGACAGTGCCTCAAATTTCATATAGAGAACAGTTTTTCTAATTTGCAGAACAGACAGGTTATGCCTTCATGTGCTGAGGTTTAGGTAGTGAGGATTTAGATCAGAGAGAGTGCTTTTATGTTTAAATCAACTGGCTTTCAGTATTGGCAACGCAAATACGAGATTCATGTGAAGCTCATTCTGTGTTCTCATTTGAACCAAAACACTAAAATATATCAATCAACTTGGCTATTATGTCCATTGTTTTAAATAATTAAAAAGGTAATTGTTATATTCAATTTGTCAAACAATGTCTGCAACTGATTTCTTTATTCCTTCTTTGTTCTTACCTGTGTTATTTAGGCCAAACAACAAGGGACACGATATGGCAAAGGACAGCACCCACACCACTGAGATCATGACCGTCACCCGCCTCCTCGAGCTGTACCGAGTGTTGTACAGCATCGGCATGGCAACCGCTGTGTACCTGCAATGGCAACAAGGTAAGATGTTAGAGAAGTACTTGTGAATGTATCGCTTTGTAACCCAGTGGACAGTGACGCAGACTTGCCACACTTGAAGCATGCTGATGGAACTGAAGTATGAACACTGGCTGAACCTTTTAGTGCATCTACAGTGAGGAAGTATCACTCATTCACTTTTGTTGCAGCTTGGTTAAAATGGCTGACTTCACCGTACAGAACATGAATTTCAAGTGGCTGTTTAGAATGTAGTCAGTGCTTGAAAGGAGAAAATGGGTGGAATAATTGTGTGAATGATTAGCAGTTGTTAATGGGAGGTATTTGAAGAGGAATGCAGGCAATATGGTGGTTTGTGTTTTCCCTCATGGCTCACAATTTGTTAGTTAAACACAAAGCGGTTCAGACTCTCTTTCTGCACTATAATTTATGTTGCATGCCTCATGATATTTATGGTTCCCCAGGTAACAAGTCTGTAAACATTAAATAAAGTGATTGCACCAGATACTCACGTCTTGCATTATGTTGCTAATTCTACAGCTTCAAATGAGTCACAGAGAAAAGGCAACAGAAAAGCTAGGAAGCTTTTGGGGATAGGCTTACAAACAGCCAGTGTGTCAGAAGTCACAGACTCTTGGTAAAAATAACTCGCAACAGCAGCATGAATAAAAGTCATTGTCACTTGATGATGGAGAGTTTTCATTTGTCATCTAGTTGTTCTTTTGTCTGTTAGATAGAATAGAAAAAATCAGTCATAAGCAGTGTGCCTGTGTGTGTAAGTCCCAAGCTTTGACCAAATGGAGGTTTAATACATTTCAAGAATTAATGTGACAATGACTTAAGAAGCACCAATATTTTCATTAGCTGAATATTTTAATGTACTCATACTGAATCCTAGTTATAAGACTTTTTATAGGACTTTTGCATCATATTCATACCTACCTACACACACTGATTACATTTAGCTGTTCGTGTAAAAATTACAACTGTGCCCAGAGTTGAAATCCACCCAAATAAACTTAAAATAGTTGTTTCTCTCTTTTCTGGACACACACAGTTGGTGTATGGGCAGAAATATCCAGGAGAAACTCATTCACAATGCTGTCAGATTTGTTTTTCTTGGCAAAGCCCAAAAATAAAATAGCTGCATATTCATACTATCGATGTCATAGAGAACAAATAAACCTTTTATGTTGTTTTTCATATACAACAAAGACTTCAAATAATAGTTGTTTTATTGAGATGAAGATTAATTCTATCATTTTAGGTGAAAATTGTGCACTTGTGTGTCCTCAATGATGATTTGTTTACCTTGGCCTTGAAATGGAAATGCAGCCAAGCAGAAAATCAAGTCAAATTAAATATGACAGAAGTTGATAGAGAGAAAATATGACAGAGAAATATGTTTATAGCTTTGTAAGTGTAACGCCTGACTTTTGATGCAGTTGATTTTACAAAGTTGCAGAATGTAATCCTATCTAATGATTTTTTTTTTTTATACTATGCAAGTATGCAAAGACATTTTGGGAGCACTTTGATAACTAGGCATTATAATGTGTTTGTTAATTTTGTTTATTAATTTGAGGAACCACAATCAAACAGTGGTTTTAATTAGTGCTGTCATGTGATTAAAAAAATTGAGAGATTAATTAATTATGATCTGTAATTAATTAATCTAATTAATCTCTTTTTAATCTCACCTAAAAATTGCTGAGAAAAGCCTTCAATTTGAGGTATTTTCATTTAAATTCATTATTACATTATTGTGGCAGATCAAAAGACTGATACAGAACAAAAAAAAGTGACTTTATAAAGTCATTTATTGTTTAACAAATGTCTCCAAATTGGCTGTTGAGATCACTGGTTTTAGTCCTTGTTTTAGTCCTGGTTTAGACCTGCTTTAGTCCTACTTTAGTCCTAGTTTAGTCCTAGAATGGATTAATCCTGGTTTTAGTCCTGGTGTTAGTTCTGGTTTAGTCCTGGTTTAGTCCTGGTTTAGTCCTGGTTTTAGTTCTGGTTTTAGTTCTGGTTTAGTCCTGGTTTAGTCCTGGTTTAGACCTGGTTTAGTCCTGGTTTAGTCCTGGACTGAATTAGTCCTGGTTTTAGTCTTGGTGTTAGTTCTGGTTTAGAGGCTCACAGGAGGAAGCGCGGTTTACGCAGCGTACGCGAGAAAACACGATCCACACGCGGCTCACGGGAGCACGTCGGTGTCCGCGCAGTAACTACTGAAGGAAACGTGGTCCGCGCGTTCTCAGGTTGATGACGATGATGAAGCTGTGTGTTTATATTTGTGTGTGTTTGTGTGCGTGTCCCCTCATGTGGCAGGTCACTATAGGACAGTAGTGCAGACATCATGAGCCTATGCAGGTTGTTTTCACCAGTGACATTTAAGTTGTAGGCGATATTATATTTGTTATTTCACGTCGGGAGAATAATTTCCAAGACACGAATGCGTTTTTACCTGTGCACTGCTGACTCTGTTCTACTGGCTCTTCGACCTCGTCCATTGTGCGACTGACGCCGTAAACGTCGCTCTTACTGCGCGTGTTTTGTGTGGGTTTCAGACAATGAGTGGAATTGCCGAAATTAAAAAATGTATAAATGTGTTTTTTGTTTGTGCGTCTGTGTGTGTTGTTGGGACAACAACACACACAGACGCACAAACAAAAAAACAGGTTTTATAATAAAGCAACTCACATACAGAAACAGTAAAGTTAGAGATTAAAAATGAGATTAACGCGATTAAAAAATAACGCGCTAAATATGACTGTAATTAATTAATCGCAATTAACGCGATAATTTGACACCCCTAGTTTTAATAGATATCTATAGTAAAAAATAGAATATACTGTATGTTCTGCTCTAAAAGCTTTACAAACTTCTCTAACAATACACAGGAGAATTCTTCATTCACTGTGCACAATGGGTGATGTTAAACTATTCTCTGTGCCAATGGCTTCTCCAAACCTGCAGTATAAGTTCTTAAGACCTCTATCTCTGTCATAAATTCACATCTTCCAGTGTTTTTTATAGGAACAGTGACTTTTTGTCTTAAGACCTGCCCAGTCCTTTAGCACTAAACTGTACTAAGCCTTGTCTCAGACATTCATATACAGGTGTATGCAAATGCACATAATGGCATCCATTTGTCATAATGAGAACTGTACATAGGTAACCCTGCAACATCTGCTTGCCCATAATTTCGGCTGGAGCAGAGCAAAAGCTGACATTATGGAAGATGTTGCACATGGTGTAAAATCCATGTCTGCACACAGCACTTAACGTACAAATAGACATGTGAGCTCTGCTGCCACGTAGTTAAAGGAACCACTACTTCTTATGTAAACTAAAGTTCACAAACTAAAGATTTCCAATGAGAATGCTAGCAGGAAGCCTGACAGGCAGGCAAGGCTAAACAAGCTGAGCAGTGGCCCACTCACCGATCAATGCTGATGGCACAGAGATTGAGGATGCTGGCCGTACACATCATGACATCCAGAGTGACAAAGATGTCACAGTGGATCTTACTGAAGCGCCACTCTCCCACCACCTAAAAGACACAAGAAAAAAACAAAGAAATAGTAGTTTACAGCCAGAGTCAACACAAGAAAGATATAGACCACTTGCCCAGAGAGAAGGGACCTTTCCCAGAAATTATGTGTTTTTCTTTTAGCAACAAAAAAGTCATAGTGACAGTCAAGCCTCCTTGTATATTCTTTCACATTATTTCCACATCAGTAACAAGGAGCACAAGGGAAAGACAAAAGAATGAAACACAAAAGTCAGCCATGAGTGCAGGCTGTATGGAAATGAGCTGTCATAAAAAAAGACATAGAGAACAATTGCATTTTATGTGATGTTTGAGAGAGAGATTGAATAGGCTTGGCTTGTCTCTGCTGATTCCTATACAGATGATATGTAGTTGAGAAGCAGATGCCAGTTGATGCCAAAATTGTACTTTATAGAGAAATGCATCTGAGATCTTTCCTAGGCACAGCCAGGCACACATGACTGATGACATGTTTTCATGTGTTGATTGCTTAATCACAACTTTGTGTCTCATTCTTCCATCTTTATGAATTAAACATTCAATTATGGCAAAAACTATAGGCAACCCAGTGAGATAATTATCGCGTAACATGCATCCTGGATGACAGCCCCAGGTGGCTTGCAGAGTAGAGATGTGATCGAAACCTATTTATATTCATACTGCCTCTTATTACTTGGTCAAACCCCAGGATAGAAAGAGCTTCATCAGAGTAGCAGGCATGGGCTAGTGTGTCAGATGTCACATTATCTTAAGGATCTTTCCACTCCAGTGCTGTCTCCATACTTCATTCTGTACGCTCATCAACACATTTCCTATATTTTGATTGTGATTAATCTCTGTCCCAAGGCCGTGTGTATAATTAATAGCAATGGTTTAATGATGCGGGGGCCTGAGGACTACTCTTCAGTGTCCCAGCCTCCTCTCACCAGCTCTCAAGCATTTATTTGTCTATTAACTATTTAATTTACTCACACAATTACCACATGCTCACACATCATCATCGATTATTATGGTATAGTAGTGTTCATAATTTAAATTTTATGTCATAACTTGAGTATAGAGGTGGGTGAAAAAGTCACAATTTCAGTTTCATCACAAATCATTCACTTCTGAGGGTTCACACTGTGATTGTTTAAATTTTCCCAACACTCACTCATATGAGACAGACTGACCAGAATAAATAGTCTAGAATAGAGCCAGAGTAGACATGAACACAAGATGTTTTCCGTTTTATAATAGAACCATATTATTGTGAGTCTACATTTTCTGTCTGTCTAACAGGTGGTGCTTTGGGCACCGACAATATTTGATACTGTAATGGCTACATTTCTCTAATTTACCTGATGTTGTGTGCAAATTATATCGTAATTATGACAAGATTTTTGTACATAATGAATTTGGAAAGATTGAAAAATCAGGGAACTATTAGGAGCAGTTCATGGAAAGTGATGCAGACTTTTATATTATATCAAAAGCACACTTAATTATGGGTTGGTTTAAAAGATTTAATCTTATTAAAACAACACTGCAGGCTTGTTCAGACTGTTAAGGTTATTTCTTTCTCACCTACTGCAAAAATTAATTTGCATCTTATGCGTATTGATGAGCATGGTTTTATACTTTGTATAATTCAATGAGATGATGGACAGTCAGATACCTGTCCAGACAGAGCAGCCTTAATTAAACAATATTTTAATTATAACATCACATTCTTAAGTGCACTTGTCATATCATAAATGACAATGTAATTACACGATGTTAATCTGGCCTTTTGCATTTATGGATGTAGTCGTGATGCTGTAGCTTTGGTTTTAACACTATAAACATGAATGTTTTAATTCTCTCTGTAGGCATGCATATCCCCACTATCCTTGCGCTCTTTAAATCAGTCACACTCAACAAAGAGCGCAAAACCTGTAATTTATGCTAATGTAGCATTTAATAATGAAGACCAAAGAAAAGTCAGAGTAAAAAATATATCTTATGTGCTGAAACAACATAGAAACTGCCTGCTACTTTACAGTAAATTTACTTTAAAACACACAGTAAATGGATGAGTGGGTACAAAAGTGACTGTAAAACTGTTATTTCAAAATGCTTCTACTGAGAAAAAGCGGTAGCTATTGAAGCAGTGTGCTCTATGAATTGTGGGCAACATTGTTTTAGGATGTTTCCTGGACAAGCCAGAGAAACTCCTCCTTCAGTGAGCATCCATTTAGTTTATTGTTTGGCCTTATTTAACGATCACAACTGTGTCTACCATAATTGCTTAAACCCCTAATCCCAGCATTAGTGCAAGCAGCCAAAGAAAACCAACAGCCATAAATATATAAGCCCATAGCTCCAAATATAATTTTAATATAGTGGCAGTGGCAAACTCCAGTGCTCCCATTGACCTTAGTCTGAGATAAGCTTTCAAATCCATTTACGTCCAGAGGGATTTAGATAATTCTTAATTAGAAAAAAAAAAGCCTTTTGATTGGTTTTAAAAATACACTTTAAATGTACTCCATATCCTAAGAAGTGTTGTTTTTTTTCTTTCTATTGTAGTTTTGGTTTTCAGATATATATTTTTTTTAATTGTTGAATGACCCATGGAACCCAATACCTTATTCAGCTGTTGGTGATTATGAGCTAATGTTAAGCCTGTAAATATTGTGTTCCTTTTGCTTCTTGGTTAATGTTTTGTAATAATCATAGCACATTGCACATAGCAGTCACTTGTCCAACCCTTGCTGTGCTTTATAAACAGTTTCAGAAATAGGACTATAGATTTTTACAATGAAACGTGATCACTAGGATAATCATCATAGACCCACTGAGAGACACAGGAGCCACAGTCTTCTTATATTATATTCTACATCACATAGTGTGCCCTAAAGAAATAACACCGAGGCCAGAGGATAGACAGAGAAATGAGCTGATAAAGAAATCTTCTGGTGAGAGGGTAGCCTGTACGCCATTGATTGTTTATCATTGGATATCATTCCCGAGTGAACCTCTGTGTGCTACAATTGAAATTCAGCTTATTCTGCCACTGTGCACTAAAGGCAAGACACATACCTCAATTAGGCAGAATTATTCATAAACACAAGGCCCCTGACTGAAAGAGGCAGCATGACATTTTGACAGTTTCATGCACAACTGCTCTATTACAGGCCACAAGAGTTAGACAGCGGTCCACTTGGAGAATGTAAATATAAGGGCAGAGGTTGAAGCGAATCAGAATTCATTTCATATTTTATTAAAGAATTCTCAGCTGATTGGTGGAAACTGTATGTATTTAACCTCTGTAGAGATGTTAAGTACCTTAGGGGTCTGCTGGTCAAGAGTGGGCAATGCATATTTTGTTCTTAACGATAGATGTGTTCAAATAAATAGATAAGATAATAACATAACATTCAGTTCATGTGTTTTAAAAAAATAACTAAACCTTTCAATTAATACATTATCCAAGGCCTTTCCACAGCACAGTATTATAAAGCTGGTAATTAGGTCTACAGCAGATTTAAATCTCAATGGGGATTCCTGTTCTACTTTACTCCATACCATCTGCCCCAATGTTCTAAAGAGTGACCGTTAGCCTTAATGCATACAAAGTTAAATATCACGTGTTGAGCCATATGCTTACTTGGTTACATACTTTGTGCTGTATTTTTTCATTTAATTTTGTGTATTTGGTGTTTGACCGTGTGTCAGTGTATCCTACAAGGTCAGTCCTCTACCTTCCCCAGTTATAAGGACACTTTGATGTGTCGTCCATTGATCTTTGAACTTGCATTTAAACATGTGCTTCTGCTTCCCACTCCTCCTATACAGACCGGTCACAATGGGGCACAGTAGATAACACGCTTTGTTCCATAGACACTGTACTTGAAATGGGTGGTGGGTGTGTGATCTCCAAAGGTCAAGCAGTACTGGTCAGAAATTATCCTATTGTTGGTGACATTTTTTCCTCTATAGATTTTCATGAACAATTAAGTGTAGTGGATTTAGCCATGTTTGTTTGTCATACCGTCAATGTAACCCAAATGTCATTGACAGCACAACATGGTACAACCATGCTTCCACAAGGTGATGGTAATAATAAGATAAGATTCTCTCTTCACAGCAATGACCTTCTCCTCGTAACTGCTCCAAGGTATTCATGAGAGCAGCCAGTACCCAGTTTTTTTCCCTCCAACCTAATTGTCCTTTTGTGTGCGGACACTAGGGTGACACTGGCGGTTGGGAGGTTGAGAGCAGGCTTTTTTTCATGGAGCACTGCTGTTACCAGCGTCTGAACTTGAGATGATGTTTTTTTTTGTTTTTGTAATGAAGTACAACAGAGGGAGGCACAGGACATTCAGTCCTTGGACAGACTTATTCATATATATCTGATTCTCACACAAACAAAATCATTCTTTTTTTTTTTCCATTTTGTTCTGTGAAAATAAATGGCACTCACATATTCTAGTAACTTACAGCCAAAGCACACCAGTCCTCTAAGGTGCTACGAGAGTGTGCACATGGCGTGCACTTGCTCAACTCTGTGCAGTGATTGGAACATGTTGAATTTGAGTGTGACACAGAGGCTGAAAACCCTTTCTTGCAGATTTACTTTGAACCTAGACAGGCCTCTGCTCTGTGACTGATGGAAGAAGTTTAAGGAGAGGGACCAATGCTGCAATGAAAGTAGAGAAAACACTGTTTTGTCTCCTGCTTCACTCAGTGCAAACTTCTGTTTGTCACTAAACTCAACAATAAAAGACTAAAACCACAATTTTTTCATTCCTCACATAGCTTCACACTAGGACTCTCATTTCATCAGTGATCTGCAGATAAGATTCCCAGTGAAGTGTTGTCACAATACACTATTTACACAACAGAATGCAATTTTAACACACAACATATTATACTTTGTAAATTTTATGATATGGTCTTACTAGTTGTTGATCATTCTACAACTATTTAAGAAAGGCCAAATATTGTTGTATTTATGGCATTTGTTTTTACAGTATTGGTGCTGGTTCTGATTAGTAGTTTTTAGATAATAATTTTGGTATCAATTTGTATCTGGATACCTTTTTTATCTAATTCTACAGCTGTGTTTGTTTTGTCAGCACTTATCAGCACTTTTAACAACACATGAAACATCTGTCAGTGATTCACTTACTAAAAGGATAAGCTTGAACCAGACTGACAAGATGTTTTTGATGAGAAATTGCCAGCTTGCATGTACCAGATAACCAGGCAGTTATATAGAGAATGATTTCTATCAAATATATTATCTTTGAAGCTTTTGTCTACTGTGCCCGTTGTCTTATCTGCCTACCACTTTTCTATTTCTTTCTTTCTTTGCCCTTGGTCCTTTGTGCTGTGAGTTCTCTACTCAGAAGCTGCTAAAAGTTCTCTAACATTCTTGCCTTGAAATGCTGTGTAGTGTGATCGATTAGATTCTTCACAGCATCAGTGCTAAAGTGCTCTTTTCTTACTCTCAACTGGTCGTGGACATTGAGGAGTGTCAGCCCGTGCTTTCAGGCTCTATACAGCAGAGCCTGCACATAAGCTCTTTTAAGCCTCCAGATAAAGGGAGAAGCATCTTTGAGCACACAAAAGTCCAGTTGCTTTTGCGTAAGCGCCCTGGCTTACCCTAGTCTGAAAGCATCTCAATCTTCCAAAACAATATACTCTTACCTCCTTTAAACTTATCATATATAACTTTAAACCCAAACCTTTGCCACGACTTAGAAGAGGTTTAAAATACTGTAGGGCTTCCTTATAACATCACAGTATTCTTTTATTATTCATTCACCTTACTTTTTGCCTACTATGAAATGAGTAGACCTATCCAGGGAGACATAGCACGACAAGAGCAGAGGGCATGTCACTATATTCACCATGCTGCATTATGTATAACACCTATTTGCATGTGTGCGTGCATATTCTACCTCCAAGTACACGACCCAGGGCATGACCAGCGTGGCCACGAGGAGGTCAGCCACTGCCAGACTGACGATCAGATAGTTGGTGGTGGTTTGGAGCGCCTTCTCCCGGGACACAGCCATACACACCAGCACGTTTCCAAACACAATGACAAAGATGAGCAGGGTGAGCAGCATGGCGTAGTAGTTGTAAGGGTTCTTCTGGCCGTGCTCTGTCCCGTTGAGGCCCCATGTCCCATTGTCGAATAAGCTGTCGTTGTAGGCATACTGGGTAATGACATCCATTAGCTGTGAGTGACAGAAGGCCGGTGGAGGGGCCCTGCAAAACGTCAGACAGAGAAAGATGTTATAACAGAGGACTAGTATGAATAATGGTGCAGTTTGCGGAGAATTGATTTAAACAATAGTCTATTGTTTATGCCGCCAGGGTAAAGTAATAAATCGTATCGTATTTCAGTTTTCTTATTTATCATTTTCACTTAAGCAATGTGTTTTTTGCATTTTCATTGGGGATATCTTTTACATGTTATACTGTACTTGAGAAAATCTGACTAAATGTTATTAAGACAATGCTTTTCTTCATCCAAAATGCTTCAAAACAAACAAATGAAAAATAACATTTTCAAAGCTCAAAATAGGCTGGTCAAAAATTACAATAAATCTCTTTTTTCATTTCTCTTCTCTACCACAAGCTTGTTAAAATACAAGTGATATGACCAGTGACCGGTACAGGGTAGAAGAGGCATTAATGGGATTTGTGGAAATGCAAAACACCAGTCAGCTCTGTTTTTAGTTGAAAGTGAAGTACAATTTAGCAGAGTTTGCTTTTAATTTAATTGAAACACCTTGCATGTGTTTCATTTGCATATGGTAATCGTGACTGCTGCTGCTTTGTTCTATGCCTGAGAAATTATTTGTGTGAAGTTTATGTTCTGTGTTTGTCTATTTTTATACAGAATACAGGTAGGCAAATACACCTTTAGCAACAGAGAGCTGTTCATTCTTTGTGCTTTTATGTGTAGGAGACAGTAGTTAATGGTTTGTTTTATTTCATTTTGTAAAACTTAACAATATCTGGCCTGGTAGAAAAAGTATTTCCTTTCCTGTGTGCATTGCTTTACAATGACTGTAAGTACTGTTCATTAGAAATTACTGTTAGCCTTGAAAGAGCAGTGAGAGTGAACCTGAACAATATACGTGATAGAATGACTCACTTTGTAGCGTTCCTTTTATGAGACTTGTGTTTAAATGTGTGTACTTAAAGACACTGCGCACTTTTGTTTCATCTTTGCAACTCATCTTTTATAATTACTCAGGAGCGGCTGACAGAGCAGTCCTTCTGAACTGCAATAGTATGAAATCTGAATGAAACTGTGCGTGTCATGGAATAGGGGTTAGCTTCACAATTCTCGTCACCACCTTGTGCTTTGCCTTTTGGCGTCATATTATTCAGCTGTTATTTTGCCTTCAGGCCCAAACTGGCATTTTGTATAACTCACTGAAGCACTTGACGAGAAGTGAGCCAACATGGAGGCAAGACTTTTAATAGTGCCTCCAAAGTCACATTGTTGACGCCCAAAAGATGAACTGAATTTGATCTTGTGCTTTATTTCTGAAACATTTCAAATAGATGTGGGATTGCAGTTGTTGGTTTGAAGATATGCCCAATTAGAATATCAAGTGTATCTATAGTATTGTCTATAGTTGAACTTTGAAACATCTAATGTACTCTCCCAAACAAGAGTAAGAGTATAACACTATATTTCCGCCCTTTTGGGGTTAATTTTATGTTCCATTCATATTTTATGGTTGAACTTCAAACAAGACACTGTTGCAAAATATGGTGTGAATAATATTATTCACTTTATTCTGGGAGTTGCTATGGGTTGTATTATTTTGTATTGGGCTAACAGCAAATAAGTTCAATACAGACTATAAAGCCTTTTTAAAGCCTCCCCAGAGAATCGGTACAGTATTGACTTGTTGTTGCAGATGAACATTGAACATTTTACACAAATGAACCTACTTTATGTCATATTTCATCACATCAGATTCACCTTTGACATGAATAGGATTCCCGTTCAAGAGGAAGTAGCACCACAAAAAAGTGTGGTCTAGCATTTGAGACAAAAGTGGGCGGGGCATATTCATTTTTGTTAAATCATTCCTACCTGGCCAGCCAGAACCACACGTTTTGATAAAACTTTACAAAGACGAGTGGATTCGAACAAAATGTAGAAAGGTCTGACTGATCAGGCAACTAATTCATAACATTATGACTACTTCCTATACCACGGCATCAGAGCTTGTAATCATGCCTCATCAAAATAGAGTTTTGTTTCATTACATCTATATGTGTTTAAGTAATACTGCATATGTGAACTGTGTCCTTCTTGGAAGTTCTAAACACAGTTGCATAATTTCATCTGGTGCTGATGTGCTTCACCATGTTTTTAGTATTTAGCTTTATACTACCACCTACATAAATCATTATTATACGTTTCCACACTGTAAAGCGCAATATTGATTTAAAACAGGTTAGAAATAGAAACAGACCCATTTACTTCTTGTTCAAATTTGTACAACTGAGAGGGCCTGCCTCTTCAGAGGCATTTTACTGTAGCAAACCCTACACTTACAAAGAAATGGGTGAGAATATAGTTGAAAAAGGGTTTCTCAAATATACAAGATCAGAATAAATCAAAATACAACTCTGAGTAAACTCTGATGAGGGAATACTGTTTTTACAATAAACAGCTTCATCTTTCATCTAGTCATTTTAGTTTTCAGTTTACCATCTCCACACATCTATTGAGCTTAAACATGTCAATCCTCAGTGCATCAGCAGCTGCCTCGTCTAGTCTTTTTCTTACATTAACATGGTCGAAATCATTTTAGCCATTATAGTTTGTAAAGTATTTGCCTTTTATATTGATCTTTTATAGTCCCTTGTTCTTCTTTTGTAACATGAAATGGCCTTACATTACTTTGTAATATAATACTAATCTAACTGGATGCAGAATATCCAAGCAAATGAATTTTGTGGAAGTGCTGCTCTGGGACAGTTTGTTTTTCTGCTTGCACATTAAAGTGTTGATCCAGGCTCAGTCCTAGTTGTGTCGATGGGGAAAAGAGAGCATATCCACTCAGCACATTTGCACCAGAGTCCTAGAAACCTAACTTTATTGAAAGAGCAAGATTACTGGCTTTTTTAGTCTGTGTGGGCCAAAAGGAGCTCTTGACCTCAGTAAGAAAACATTTTCCTTTATGTTTCTTCCTTCCTTCATTCAGCCTAATTGCTGTGAAAATACTTGTTGGAATGTGAGAATTGTCAGTACAAGTTTCACCTACGAAGGACACGTTGTCTTTGCAGTTTTTCACATTTCTAATGGGGCTGTGTGGTCCATTCTCCAGTGCAACTTAATGTCACTCAGGTAATTAGATGAAGTACAAGATCTGCTTACATCGCTCATTGGTGGTCTTGACTGAGAATGAGACGATTGTCAGAAATAAAATATCCTTAACATGATTGTAGAGGCTAGTAAAAGGTGACTTTCAAATAGGATTAATGTTAGAAGCATAATGGCATTTGTGAGCCACCATCAGGAGAGTTAATAAGAAGAAGCTGCATTCAATGTCACTAAGACTGAATTGAGTTACGGAAGAGGATGTACGTGTGCTGCCACAAAGGGCACCACTGCTAACTCTGTCTGTCTCAAGTGAGGATAATACAAAAACTGAAAAATATAGTTCCCTGAAAACGCTGGGGTGAGCTGAGCTGAGCTGAGCTGAGCTGAGGGCTAGAATAATCATAGTGAACCTGTTGAAGATGAATGGTCTTGAAAAACACAGGAGCTCTTATTACCATGAGATGAATCTCAGGAAAGAGAGAAAATAATATGATGGGGAATTACTCAAACATCTGTGAATGAGAACACAACTCCAGGTATGAAAAGCCAGCATTATAATGCTTGGTTCAAAGCTAAAATGCATAATATAGGCTTACAGGGCTATGAAGTGACATGAGTAATTTGTTCTCATGAGAAATTGGATGCTCAAGTAAGACAGGGTGTCCAGGTATGTTCTATGTGCAGCACAGTGTCCATGGAAGCAGCCGTGCACCCGCATAAGCTGAGTTGATCCGTACGGCTGACGTTATAAGTGTCCACTATGTCATGGGCAAATAAGAGAGGCTTTCCCTGCACACAGACCTGTCCCCTGTTCACAAACACAAACAGCATGGTACCTTATATGTTACGTGGTTGCGTGTGTCATAGGTCACAGCAGCAAACGTGCACATACATCTTATGAATTAAACATCATGCATTAGCCATTAGTACCGAAAATAGCCTAAAGAGGTAGGGATGAGTGATAATGGTTAAAGTTACTTAACTGGCAATCTCTGATAGTCATAGTGTTACAGTAGAACCCTAACAACTAGCAAAACAAGATATCTATTCTAACAAACAATAAGGAAAACAGTGGAGCCTTATATTGTCTGTTGGTAAAGATTTACATGTGCTGTAGTCTGTTGCCTGCGCATGTTACACTATGTGAACCATTCCTATTTATTAACTCACTTTAGTTTTTGTTATACACATGAATCATTTTTTATATAAATACATTGATCAGTTGATATATCTTTATTATTTAATGTACCTTTTATAATTAATATTTTGATTGTTATGTGTTAGCAATTTTTAAACAATATACTCACATAGCAACCAGTATGAATCTTCACAAATGCCTATTGAACTAGAATATGACATACTCACACCCCAGTATTGGGAAGTTGAATTTCAAATAGGATTAGTCGGAAACAACTGAGGGCTAGGAAAAGCATTTCTGAGCTTCTGTCTGCAGTGTTAATAGGAAAAAGTTGCATACAAAGTCAGAGTGAGATCTGTGTGCAGAGAGGATTTACTCGTATGGAGGCAGAGAGTAGGTGAGGCTGCTGGAAGTGTAAGCACTGCTCAGGGGCACCAGTATTTGTATGTGCCCTGCAGAGGCCCTGCCCTGTCTATTCTCATTTATTTGTCCATCCTGCGTCCTTTTACTTACAGTACTCTCCTCTCAACACTGCCTCGTGCTGCTTACAAACAAAGGTAACTAATATCCCTGCTTGCTAATAAATCAGCATTATAGTGTCATTTGTGATTACAGCTGCGACCTCTACTTGACAATGATTTTTATGTCCAATACTTTGTCTGTGCCCCATGACCCAAAACAAAAACAAAACAACCCTGAATACTAATTGTGTCCCGACCATAAGCATTATGAAACAAGTCAAGGCAGGGAAGGCATGTTGCATTATTTTCA